GGGGGTGAAAAACGATCGCTCAAATTTTTTCAGATTTTTTTGGCAACCCAGTTCGGAGATATGATTTTTTTTACATTTCTCCGTTTTTTCCAATAACTCAAGTTTTATTTGTCCAATTTTGATTTATTGAGCGTTAAAAGTTTCCATTTTTTTACGGCCTATACTTGTGTTTCCAATAAATATTTTTTTTGATTCCTAGATGCTCATAATAACGAATTTTCGAGAAAAAAAAGTAAAAAAAGTTGAATTTTGCAATGTGACGTATTGAGATCGATCAATACGTCGATTTATTTAATAATTATAATTATTATGCCCAAAGTGGTGGACGATGGGAATGGGAAACGAGGTTTCTTATTCCCTTCATCCAAAGATTGCTCAGCAGTCTCACGGTGTCCCATGGACACCAGCGTAAGCAGTTCCACGGTTTCTACAGGTCCAGTTCAGGGTGCTGAACTGTTTGACTGTGTAGGTTTCTATACGAACGAATGCACGAAACCGTATTAGTGAAGAAAACCGTGGGATTGCTTAGGTAAGCATTTTGGGACTTTGACGAGTTTGGACGACTCGGGAAGCACCAGAGTACGTCAGAGTACGATCAGGAGCGAAACAGAGCGGATCTCTGAGCTCAGGCCTTCAGCCAACCAATAACAAAGTCGAGTCAAGGTCCCAAAGTCGAGTTAAGAACTGCGTTATACCGACCCATTAAACACTACTGTGTATAAATTAAAGTTAATATATAGTTATTTTACCAACATCAGTACGGTCGGTTTAATATCGGTAACCCTCCCTCTATCCTTCACTTATCCCTCCGATTGAGCGAACCACCCGTGAGCTCACCGAGACTAGCCGAGGTCGGAGTGAAACATGAGTTATTAAAGGACAAATTAACTCATTTTGTCACAGCAAATTATGTCAGTTTTGATTTGTTTCATTTTTTTCAGTAATTCTTCATAATCAAAGTCAATCAACGCCATTTTGGGGTGTTTTGACCAAATTTGTGCAATTTCGAAAAGAAAAAATTGAAAATAAAATAGATCCAGGAGGATCCCCAACTTGTACGACGGCTCAAAATACTTGTTTTGATTATAAGAATTACTGAAAAAATGAAACAAATCAGAAGTTACATAATTTACAAAATTCGACTTTCTCAACTTTTTTCCGAAAATTCTTCAGTATAAGCATTTAGGAATCGAAAAAAAAAATTACTGGAAATAATCGTATAGGCGGTAAAAAGTGGAACATTTTGACGCTTAATAAATCAAAATCGTACAAATAGAACTCGACTTATTGGGAAAAAAAACGGAAAAATGTAAAAACAATCATATCTCCAAACTGGGCTGTCGAAAAAATTTGAAAAAATTTGAGAAATAGTTTTTCAATGCCTCCCCCCCTCCCCTTACAATCGTAGAAAACATCACCATTAATTTCCAAGAGGGTAAGGGTCAGCGGTTAACTCATTTGGCGTGGAATACCTCATATAATGCGAAAATTCATTACCGAAAATTCTACAGTACTCTAGATTTCTTCAGCATGGAAGGACAAAAAAACCGATAACAATAACGTTTATTTACATCAATTTATTACAAATGTACAATATGTTTGAAATAAACAATCAGCTTCCTCCCATTTACATACAAAAATATCGAAAGAAAGCACTCTAAAAATTACCAAAGGTATCAATAGTTTATATGGCACTAAATCCAAAACAAATCTTCCACAAAGGTACAACAACAACAACACCTCCCTGAGTAGAACGAACAAATAAATAGTCCCGAGATTCTTATTACTTCGTCCTCAATCGTTTCCACCTGCACGAAGAAACAACCAAGTCGCACTTCTGCTGAAGATTCTCCAGCTCCTCCTCATAAATCCTAGTCTCCTCAAACTCCTCCGCAATGAGCCACCTGTCCACAGCCCGACAGAGCTGATCAATCTCCTGGCAATCCTCCCTTTGCACGTCCCTCCTCATCGACTCCTCGAGCCCCCTCCGGTCCTCAAAGTTCTCCAAATTCTCCCTCACATAATTAACATAATCCTCCAGCTTCCGCCTAGAATTCCTCTTCTCAACCTCCCCGATATCCTCCTGCACGAACATCCTCGCATTCCTAACAATCTGACTGACATCCCCATTACGTCGAAGCCCCTCACTCCCTCTACTGATCCTCAGCTCCTTCCTCCCGCCATTCTGCACCTCCCCAGTGACATTGAGTATTCCATCCCCATCCAAATCAAAAGACACAACAATCCTCGGGATTCCCCTGCGCGCAGAGGGAATCCCCGACAGTTGAAACTGCCCCAGTAAATGATTGTCTCTCGTCAACGCCCGTTCCCCTTCAAAAATCTTGATGGAAACCCCTCTCTGATCATCCCCGATCGTCGTAAAAGTCTTCGACAATCTGCACGGAACTCCAGTATTTCGTTTTATAAAGACCGTCATCAAGCCTCCAGTGGTCTCAATCCCGAGAGACAACGGAGTGACATCGATCACCAGTATCTCCCTTCCGAGTCGATCCCGGCTGGAGCCAGTCAGCAAAGCGGCTTGGATCGCAGCTCCCTGGACGACGATCTCCTCGGGGTTCGAGAAGATCGTAAGCTTGCACCCGGGGAAGTATTCCTGCAGCAAGGAACGGACCTTTGGGATGCGGGTCGAACCTCCCACAAGGACAACCTCACTGACATCCCTCTTATCCGTCTTCGCATCGGCTAGGGCTTTGTCGATGAGCCTGAGAGCGTCGGTGAAGAGGTCCATGCAGAGTGCGACGAAGCGCGCTCTAGAGACCCTAGCGTCCAAATCTATATTATTAAACAGTGAGTTGACAGAGATGATGGCTTCAGTGTTTGAAGACAGCGTATGCTTGGCTTCTTCCGCCGCCAATTTCAATCGCTTCAGTTCTTTCGACGTCGACGGAAGATTCACCCTGTGCTTCTTCTCGAAGTTGTTGAGGAGGTACTCAAAGAGTCTGTCATCAAAATCCTGTCCTCCTAGGTGAGTATCTGCAGCGATGGCCTTCACCTCGAACAGCAATCCCTGCTGCTTCCTGACGGTTACAATCGCCACGTCGCAGGTGCCGCTTCCTAGATCGAAGATGACGATATTGTCATCGGGCTTGACGTCTCGACGGAGGCCGTAGGTGATGGCTGAGGCAGTTGGATCGTTGATCATCTTCAGGAGGTTGAGACCGGCGAGGGCACCAGCTTCCTTCGTCGCCTGCCTCTGGGAGTTGTTGAAGTACGCAGGGACTGTTATCACAGCGTCAGTGACTTCGACTCCCAGGTAATCCTCGGCTGTGTGCTTCAGCTTCCTGAGGATGAGGGACTGGAGCTCTTCAGGTGTGTAGAGCTGGTGGTCCACCTCGATTTCCAGATGACGTCCATTATTGGCTATGGGGAATCCCCAGGCTTTGGAGTCTTCTCGGACCTGGGGATCCTCCCAGGTTCTGCCGATCAGTCGTTTGAGATCGAAGATGGGGTTGGGCTTCGAGATGGAGTCACCGAGGGATGGGGAACTGAGGAAGGGAGTGTCCGAGAAGACGATGGAGTTGGGGAGGACTGTCTTACCCTGAGGGTCGGGAATTACCTCTACCCTGCCGCCCTGCCAGACGGCCACTCGGGAGTGGCTGCTCCCCAGGTCGATGCCGATCGCTGTCACCTCACCGGGATTCCGCTCGTCTTCCTCGGTATCCTGGAAGATTGCCCTCTGGAGCCCTTCATCATCGACTGTTGCCGGCATTTGAAATGTTGTTTATGCAAAATAAAGGATGATGATATTAAAGTTCCTCTGCTGAATTTACATGGGTGTATTTACGGTTATCAAGTAATTGCCCCGAAGCAGAGGAGGTGACCGCTGGAGTGATGGAGATAGAGATGAGGGGTTCAATATTTTCGATACAAACAGAATTTTCACGTTTGTTTGGACATCATGAAGACGGGATCGTGCGAAAGCCAGGCAGCAACTGGTGGCTCTCGCGCGCTCGCTCGTATTTATAAATACGGTTTGAATTTTCTAGAAAGTGCGGGAGATGTTTATAAAGCGCTACCGGCGGACTCTAAAGGTACTATAGTGAGAGGAAATTGTATTGTTTGTATATTTTTCGGATTTATTTAGTCGGGTTTGTGGAGAATTACGTCAAGTAATGAGTCTTTTATTCATCCGAATTTTCAACAATTATGATTTTTTCATTTATAACTTTTTTTATGATGTAGGTTGCAAAGCTGTCAGTAGGTACGTCGAGCATAACCAAAAATTGTATGTGATATTGAATAATAAACGGTCAAATTGATAGTTCAATTACTCTGAAATTGTATTATGAGTAATTAGAATTCACATACTTCAATTTGAAGGAGAATTTGATTGTATGAGACATGGAGTTCGCTGAAAAGAAAAATAAAAGCAAAGTCTGTTGCTGTGTGCCTGGCTGTCACAACATATCGCGTCGCGATCCCACAATTCGATTTTACCATTTTCCTCGTGAAAAGGTCAGTTTTGTGAAGATAATTAATAAATTTAATGAAGAGAAAATGATCGATCGACGAACTGCTTGGATACGAGCACTGCGAATGGGAAAGAAAGTGACTCCTTCCATGAGAGTATGTTCTCACCATTTTATTGAAGACGATTTTATATTACCACGTAAGTATAAAAATGCATAGGGGCGGGTGGTGCAATATGGACATCAGATTTAAAGAATGAGTTGAATTGGATCAAATTTAATGTTCCCACTTCATTTGATGGTTATAAAAACAAACACATTGTCATAAGACTGCCTCGTAAGAGTTGTAAGGTAAAGCAAACAAGTGGGAAATTGCCGATGTATAACATATAGTATAGCTTTTTTGCTAATAAATTAGCAATCTGCTTCCGAATGGTCATGTTGCATTTTTTTTTCTTCCGTATATGATTTATATTTTACTTTATTTCATTAAATTGAATAATTTTCTTTTCAATCAATTGTGTCAAGTTTTCTCTCCAGTTGAATTTTATAATATTATTATTATTCTTATTATTATTTTCTCTTATAGAACTTTTTATTTATTTATTTATTTATTTTTTCATTATTCTTTCATCACCAAATAATTTCAAAGTTATTTCGACAGTAAAACAGCAAATCCAAAGCTACTCTATATTTCAAACTTCAATGTAAAATTTAATTGAGTTAAAGTTTATTTGTTAATATCTCTTTCAACTCTAGTTTCTCTCTACAAAAACGTACCGTCATGATTCTATTGGAAAATGTCTGTTGAAAATTTTTCGGGTATCCATTTTACCCCACTCTTGAATAATCTTTCGGTTGAGGACCTTGCCAAAGAGCAATTTTTTAAAATGCAATTGGTGAAAATGTTTTGAAAATTTTTTGACCGTCCATTTTAGCCCATCCCATACGGATTTATCAGTCCATATATTGTCCATATTGCCCAATGAAACAATCTTCAAAAATTTGGATTTTGAAAACAAAAAATTTTTGCAAATTTTTTAAGTGTATTGTATGGGGTAACCCAGATGTCCATATTGCCCCACCCTCCCCTACATCCTTAATATTAGCGTGAAAAAATAAAATTCTAACCAAAATAATTACCTACATTATTTATTCTTGCTTTATAGAGAATGGCAAACGTGACAACAGAGTGAAAACCTATCTGAAGAAGACAAGTATTCCCTCACTCAACCTGCCACATCCATCTACCTCAAAAACTTTAAATTCTGAAGAAAAAAGTCATGATGGTGCTCGAGAAGAGAGCAGACGTAGATCACCCAAAAGCAGTGGCCTATTGCTAGTAATGATGAGGAAGTGTCCAAACCAATAAGTGATAACGAGAAAGTCAATGGAAATTTGAACGATGCGGAGGAGAAAGACGCGGTGAATCAGAGGGGAACTTGATGGAGAACAATGAATCTATCGACGAATGTGCTCCAGAAGCATGGCCCATAGTTCCTCCTTAAAGAGTTCAGGCACATAGGAATACAATTTGGAAATAGGAATCCAAGTCCAAAGTGATCTAATGATGCCAACATTTATACGTTTTATCGTAGAGGATCATGAGCCAAGTACGCTAACGGGAACTAGCAGTTTTAAATTGTTACTCTGATGAATCAAACCCAGAGTTAACTCTGGGTTAACTCTGGCTTCATGGAAATTTCCCAGAGTTTCTCTCTTTCTTCGCTGGGTTTTTTCCATAAACCCAGAGTTGACCCAGAGTTAACTCTAGAAAAGCTAATGAGAATCGTGAAAGCAGCACCAAATACGATAATCAGATTAAATTTGAGAGAAGCAATTATAATGACTTTTATGAAATTGAAACAAAACTCGTTTAATGCAACATTGTCGATCCTGTTTCACTGTTGCAAGCCTGGCGCTTGCAAACTGAGAATTTTAAAATGTTAGATATTCTTAATATTTGTTTAAAACCGAGTATATTTTGGCCAAGCAAAGATATAATATTTTAAATAAAATGTCTTTGTGCTTCAAGGGGCTAGAAGAAATTTGAACAGTCGTTGATTGCACGGAAATTAAAATCCAAAGGCCATCAAAATTATATAGTCGGTTACTAACATATTCATATTATAAAACCGCTTATACTATCAAATTAATTGAAGAGCAGTGTTTAAATTAAGAACATTTATATCAAAAGACTGAACGAGAAATCATAGAACACTCTAGGTGTGTCGTCTTACATGTCTCATCTTCATGTTTTATGTTTAAAAACAGATTATAAAAAAAAGGAAAAGAAAAAAATTAAATTTGAAATAAATTGAGATTTGAATAGAATGATTAATAAGATCGCAACTAAAATAAATCTTCCAACTGAGGATCCTATAGTTAAACAGTCAAGACAAGAAGTTATGGATATTGACCATAGCAGAAAATTTAATTTATATGATTATTGTATGGATATGAGAAAAAATAGAAATGGGAAAGACGATTCGGCTCATTTATTATTTATGTGTTTGATGAAGACAGGGAGAAACACCTTGGAAACTTACATGAAATGATCATTGTCAGAGAATTCAGAAAAGTAGGAAGTTTTATTTGTCAACTAAAGAAATTGGATAAGGACAAGGTCATGGTTAGTTGTGTTTCTGTTGAGGCAGTAAATAGACTGGTGGAATCAGAGATAAATAAAATTAAAATGAATTGGATTGCAGTGGTGCTTGACAGTGTTATCAAAAGTATAGGTAGTATAATTCAGTAGTGAACTGGTAAACGGAGATAAGTCGACTTATCTCCCAGTTGAGTTTTTGAGAAATATTTCCGAATCTAAGGGAGATGGCGAAATTTTCGTAATTACATTTGTTGCAGCACTCAATCAGCTCCACAAAAAAAGTTATAACAAAAATTTTGCTATCTCCCTTAGATTCCAAGATATTGATTAAAAACTGGTGAATACTCAAAATTGACTTATCTCCTTTTACCACTTCACTACTGAATTATCGATGATATTCCAGTTGGGATCAAAGATGAAGAAATTCTCGAATAAATTAATAGTTTAGCGGATCAGTTGGCAAAATTGGCTCGAGAAGATAATGATATAACGGGAGAAGTAAAGGTCTATTGGAGGGAATGCATAGACAAAATTAAAGAAAAACTTATTTCGGATTCTGACCGGTATTTGTTTACTCAGGCAGATGAAAATAAAGTAGATAGTAAAGGAATCAAATATTTTAAACATCAAAGGAATGAAACGTGGAAGAATTTATACATGGCAGGCAATGGTTTGCAAAAGAAAAAATTAGCTAGAAGCACGACCACAACATGTAATGGAATAAAAGCAAATCACACTCTACTTAATAGCCATTTATCTCGGAAAAATACTATTATGAGTTCAGCTTGCAACTGTGGTGACCTCATGATGGATATAGACCATGTCTTATGGGACTGTCCAAATTATAATTAAAAGAGAAATAAATTAGCAAATGATTTGAGTGCAGTGAATGTTAATGTAGGTATGGTACATGGTATTAAAAAAATGTATTTGGAAAATAATATTAAAGCTACCGAATATATAGATGAATTTCTGATTATAAATAATGTTAAGTCGCAATAGTATTTTTATAAAAATTGATATTCATTTTTCACTTGTGTTGTCTGAATAACTGGAAAAATTGGTAGTTCCTTCGGACATATCCACTGATTAAAAATCGACTTTGTCATTTGAATAAAAAAACTAATAAGGCCCTCTCTAGGGCACAACAAAAATAATGGTGCTTGCCTCTCTATCTTTGAATAAGAATATAATTATAACGAACAGAAGAAGAAGAAGATCCATGCTACCTTTTCTGAATCATTGAAAACTGGGTGCCATTAGTTCACTGCGAAAAAAAATTATTTTTGCCAAATATTCACTTACTTGAGAGAAGTATTTATTTTTTCAAAATCGGATTTCTCGAATCGAGTTATTCCCAGGCGAGCCTGATTAGCTTTCAATTATAACAATCATGTTGCTGTAGAGGGTGACTATGTTGCACATGACCTTGGATGAACTCCTCTAATGATTAATCATTTTTCCTAAATTTCTTATTTGTTAGAGGGGAGGATTCCAATCAATTTTTTAATGTTGATAATTAGGGGTGGTTGGGGTAAAACGGACCCCTTTGACTTTTTTTTAAATGTTAATGAGGGGTTGAAATGTTGATAAAATTATATATATTTTTTTTCAATACAAACAACAATTCTTTCCCTTTGTAACGAGCCTAAACTGAGCTCAATTGATAAATTTGTTTCTGAGTTACGAATCATTTTTAAAAAGTCTTAAGTGTCCATTTTCCCCACCCTCCCCTATTGAAGGAATTCACTTAAGGTCATAACTAACATGATCATCATCTACAGCAATATCTCAGAAAACAATTTTTGCCAGTGCCATCTAAAATTTAACAGGACATCGACAAATTGTCGACATACTGTTTACTGGGATAATCGATATAATTGAAACCTAATGAGGATTGCCCGAGAATGAGTCGATTGGAGAAATACGATATTGAAAAAATAAATACTTCTCTGAAATGAATGGATATTTGGCAGAAATAATTTTTTTTCTTGGTATTCGTGAATGGGCCGAAAAACTCCCTAATTTCTATCGAAAAAGTTCGTGCCCTTTCGAGAATTTTCCGGAGATTCCCGAACATTCCCGAGTATGTCTCAACCCCCCACTCCACCGCACTTTTGTATATCGTTGTACACACGGGCGCGGCCATTGCCGTGTAGTTTACTTGATCTCTCACTGGAATTAATTTATTTCCATAATAAAATTGTCATTCTTGTTGACTATTCCTCTAATGAAATTGTTAATGAGATTATACGGAAAGAGTTTATCAATGGTTGAAGTGAGAAATAGTGAAATTTTTTGAGTGAGCAACAAGTGTGTCTGGAACGTGTCATTCGAAGGTTCATCAAGCCTCTGTCAACAAGTATTTTCATCTGCAGCCATGATTACGAAGGCATTTTGTGTTATTTTATTGCTGGGAATGCTTAATAAAGAAGGTAAAACAGTTATTTGCTGCTAGAAATGTCAAAATTTGGCTAGGAGAACATTTGGGAGACGGCATTCCCACGGGCGTGGTTTTGTCATCGATCATCGTGGATGATTATGAATCATCAGTTGTTTACACGCTTTTTGATTTCAGTTTCAGGGGCTGGCGGGTGGTTAGTCTGCTACCGTTGCAACAGTAATGAGCCGGGGTGTGGTTCCCCACTGAATTGGCTGTGGTACTGGGGGCAATACTGTCCCGAGGATGATGATGTTTGTGTGAAAGTCATTGAACGTAAAGGAGGTAATAATGAAACATAGAAATTATATTGGTAATGAATGGCCTGTGGGAGAAGTAAGAAGAGACATTTGCACGATGAAGCGACCCATCGATAAACTCTCTTGACAATTTTCTTGTGGAATCACTAGTGAATGAGATAATGGCAGAATTGCATGCAACGCATTGGATAATTCAAAAAATCCTAGGAAAAAACAAATTTTGTAAGAATGATGTGAGAAGATGGATTAGAGCTTGTTTTTGGACAGCTTCATCTACCAACGCGTAATTTAGATGAAATTGAAAGAATTAGGGGATAATGGAACAAAATGAAACGTTCCAAAAAAACCACTGACGCAATTCAAGCAAAAAAAGCATTTTTATTAACTCTTGTTTATTATTGGGAGTACTTATGAGAATAATAATTTCCCATTCAGTAGAATGGAAAATTATCGAGAAGTTTTGACGAGAGAAGATTTTGTCAATGGATTAATTGAAAAGAAAATGAAACAGCAAAATCTGAAGTCCAGAGGAAGGTCCAGAGGGGGAAAAAGGAAAATGTGATGCTGAATTTCAATCGAATGAAAAAAGAAAAGTATAATCCCCCTAATCTAATCAATTGAATTATAGATGAAATATTTCATATTACTTGAAAAGAGAACTGTGGATAAAAGTGGTGAAAATTATTAATATTGTCGTCTCGATATAAGAAATACATGAAAAACCTTCAAACTTTCAAATCAGGAGTGAACACATAGACTCAGCGATGATGAGGTCTTAGTTTGGCTGCTGGAGAGTCAGGGGACAAGCTGATTAGTGGACGTTGAGATCGAGATCCAACAGGGGTTTCAGTGGGATTCATTTGTAGAGCTAGTCGATACGTTATATCGGGGTTTCGAATATCAGTGATTTTCTCGCACCGCATGTCCTTTTCTACCGAATAGAAAATTATTATTCTCATCATTACTCTTAAAAATAGAAAGGGTTGATAACAAAAAAATTTTTTTTTGCATGAATTGTGTCAAATAGTCGTTTTTCGGCTGGTTCATTTTGCCCCGCTGTTCTATTTTATCCCATTTTCCCCTAACAAAAGTTTGACTAGATATAGTTTAAGAGAAAAAGTATTGAAGAATTGTAGTAGTGGTATTGTAGAATTGACGATTTCAATTTCAAATTATAAATCATGGATGTATTCATTGAAGATGAAAGCCAAAGTTACAGAAATTAAAATTAACAGAATTAAATGAACACGAAATTATCGTGAATTCTGAAATTGTCTTATCAAATAATAATTTCTAAATAATAGTTAGAAACGTACTCATTCATACGTTGCACGTACGAATAAGGAAGTCCGTGACGAAAAATATCTTGCATGGAAAAAGTATTGATAAATTTTGATAAAGGTAATATTTATCGAAAAAAATGTAATGTTCCCAGCTTGATCTTAATAGGAGTTATATATGATCTTCGTCAATTCTGCAATTATTTCGTTGACTAGGATTTTTTTTCGAAGCTTCAAAAATTGCCAACGCAAATGCCCTTCAATAAAGACTCTGAAATCGGTAGTCATCGAGATAATAGAAAATACACAAATGAGAAAAATACAGGAAAACAATAATGCTAATGTCACTCAATTTTCCCCAATTCCAGCGGAGGAGATGATCACGAGAGAGTGCCTGAGCTCCCTGAAAGGCTTCAGGACGGACATTCCAGCTGACAAGTATGAGGGCTGTCGTCCAGCAGCCAAAGACGTGCGTCTGGGCCACTACGTCAACAACACCATAACCCAGCTCGACATCCACAGAGATTACTACGACGAAACAACGTGGTGCTTCTGCTACTTTGACAACAGATGTAACAGTGCCACTGGACTCAAAATCTCCGGACTCCTCATCCTCCTTGGTACCTTCGTCCACCGCTTCTCGAGCTAAGATTACAATTTGTAAATTAATTTAAACTAATGATGTTATTCGTACGAGTAGACTATAATTGTATGAAACGTACAAGGAATCGTGGGAATTCGAAGTCTATTGGCTTCAGTTTCACGTCTAGTCCGTCCATTTAATTAGTATCGAGATTAATGTGGATTGAATCCGTCCAATAATCGATAGAAAATCAATGCGAATTTTATATAGTTTTATAAAGAATTTTATATACCTTTTTTAATGAAGGTGATCGTATGATCATTTGCCTTTTTAATTTTTATACTTCAGTTTTGAACAATTACACTGCTAGGAATTCTCTGTTACATGCCAATCGTCAATTTGTAACTTTGGGTTGAATTTAAGATGAAAAGTGTCCATGAATTTCCGATTCATATCAGATACATTTTTCAAAACCCCCCAAAAACGGTGAAAATTCTTAGACTCATCGTGTAAATCGAGAAAATAGACCTTATTATCATCACATCAAATTGAAATTTCAATTTGTATTAAATTCTGCCAGAATTAATCTATTCTTGAATGAAAAAAATTACTTAAATTTCATGAAAATTAATTGTTGATTAATATTTCAAGAAATTTGGCTTGCAATCTTGTACGAATTCAGTGGTGAAAAGAGAAAAAATGCATTTCGCCATTTTTTTATTATCAATTACTCTTACAGTATCATGATTACAAATTTGTATTTTTACAAAGGTATTGTTAAATCTCACTTGATCTTTTAATCTTCGTTTCATCTTATATTTCCAATATAATTAGAACGAAGGACAATGTGTAAATGTATGTTTGCCTGTAGAAATCAAACACAATGGAAAATAAAGTTCTTTTTTTTTATAACAGCCATGATATAATTTGTTTTCACTCTTGGACAATTGTTCGCGCACAATTAGCACATAATTTTCTCATGTTTTTCACGCGATGCGTTAGGACATCGATAGGTCCACTTCAAGCTGCTCTAAGAGACTGAAAACCGGTGAAAAGTAGATTGGGGGATTTGTTTGAACGAGGAAACGAAGGGGCTTCATGACTTTCTGATATTCCTCTTTATTACACTGATCACGAAAGCCCTGACTTATCCATATGTTTAATCTCCTCGCATCCACGAAGAAACATAGGCCAGATTGATTGTTCATGTTTCAAGAGAATGAAGAGTCAGTCCTCTTCAGTTCTCATTTCACATGAGTTCCACCAGTTTCAGGGGTTTGGGATTGTAACGTTTGAGGTTGAAGCATTTTTCCATTTTTTTTGCTCACAGCATTCCAAAGCCTTTGGAGTAGTTGATGGCTTTCAACAAGCGATCCTCGAGTTTCTCCAGTGATGAGTAATCGGGGAGTAGAAGTGTGTTGAAGCATGTGTGAGCAATGGGCAGTCTGAAAACAGCACAATTCGGAAAATAATAACGAAAGATTTTCTTTTTGACATTTAAATAGTTAATAAACTGCCCCAACTATTTTATTAATCTGTGTTGTCTTCATTTATCGCTGGATATGACAATATTTTAAGGGTAATTTTTCTGCTCATTTTACATGAAGGGCGCAAATTTTTATATTTAATAAAACGAAATTAACTATAGGAGTCGAATTTCAAAAAACTGATTCGTAATTGTTATTATACACATTTTTTCAAAAATAGTGAAAAAAAAATCTCTGTAGCTCAAAAATTGGAGGCCCTGGTAGTGTTAACATTTTAACCGTCTGTGGGGCAAACGAACAATAAACAATTGATTTTTTTTGCGGCTAATTATTCGTTTTTAAAAGTATCAGTAGCAAAGCGGTAAAACGGTTCAAGTCGATTTTGATTATTGGCCAGCTGTCCACGAATATCTCGAAATCTAAGGCAGATAGCAAAATTTTTGACATGACCTTCTTTGCAGCCCCCCATTCGCTGTACAAAAAAGGTCATTACGAAAACTTCGTTATCTCCCTTAGATACGAGGATATTTCTCAAAAACTCACTTAAGGACTAAATCGACTTCAATCGTTTTACTGCTTCACTAGTGTTATATAATCGATCTTCAATGCATCAGAAATCTCACTCCAATAGTCTGTGACTTTGAAAAGTCATAGTAGTCTGCCCTTAAATTCCTTCCTCCGGTTTCATCTCTCTACTGTGACTTTCGGTATTTAGATATTAAAAGTTGGTGAAAAATAGAGAATACTGATTGTACCTGTCAGAATCAGGACCATGTCTCGAAATAACCATCTTCAACCTCGACAATCCTCCAACTGGCACTCGATCACTTCCCGTGGTGAATTGCAACAGTCTCCTCTGACTCTCTAATGGCAACGCATGAGCAACTCTCCAGAAATTCTTCACCGCATCACTATCAACCGTGTAACCGTCGTACTCGGTAGCAGCCTCGAGTTCTGTAAAGTCAAAGACTTTGCTTCCACAAACGAGCTAAAAGAGAGACCGAGAAAAATCATAATAAACAAAATTATCAACACAAAGTGGATTCCTATCACAATAAATCTAAGCTAAGATGATGAATCGTCACAAATCGATCTTTCACAATTAGTTGACCCCGAAATTTCAGAGAGGGAACATATCAAAAAATTATTTCGCAGAAAATCACTGGTTTTGCGTGAAATTATTCGATTGAAAGAGATGAGAAAATTCGAAAACTAAATCGAAGATGTTAGAAATGTATTTTTTTTGCTTTGAAGAATAATTGAAAAATTCCCAAGTTATGGTCGAGTTGAAAAAAACCGCCTTATGGCAGATATATAGGTTGTCGGGACCGATCCTTTTCCTTCGAGGGTATTGAAGAGAGTGCTTTTTAAAGGAGAAAGTTTCCCTTCCACTTTTGGCCCGAGCACTTTTTTTCTCGCTTTTTGGAAAATGATTTTGAGCGCGATAGGGCAAGAAGGGGGAGTGTGGCCGTAGATGGTTGCATATGTGGCTATCAACCTCCTAAACGGAAAAATAAGGGAAGAAAATGTTGAACAATTGTAAAAAATAAATAAATAAATGTCCGTCCCTGAAATCAGTAGTAACAGACCAAAAGAAAAAAAAAAGACGGATCAAAAAAAGTGCTCAGGTCCAAAAGTGGAAAGGAAACTTTCCACTTCAAAAAGCATCCTCTTCAATGCCCTCGAAGGAAAAGAATCGGTCGTGGGACACCCTGTATATTTAATCACTTATGACTTGTTCTTGTTCATTATTCATCAAACATGAATAATATGCATCTAATATTTTCGATTCAAAGTTGATATCTCACATGAAGGAATTGTATACAAAAACATCCAACAGTCGAATACGTTAGATTTGTCATAATTCATCATTTCGCACACCCAGAGAAATGGCTTATTCAAATTGAATAAACTTTATTTGAATCAAATAAATAGATCTTTAGAACAGGATTCCATTTGTTTTTTTCATTTTGTATTTTCCCGTCTACTAAGTGCTCTGTAATTTTCACATTATGATAACGTTGTAACGACACTCTCCTCTCTGTGAGGGTACACTGATGGAGAAAATTATTTTTATTGAGATGTTTCTGTCTTGGAACAACCATTATATACTTGAAGCAATTTTAAATAAATAAGATCTTACGTGAAATGGTGAAAATCAATTATTTCTTCTTGAGATACATTTACTTATATCAAATAAAACAGTCCTTGGCGTCAAGTTACATGTGTTCACCACAAAAATGGAAAAGTTCAATTTTTTTTCAACCCAATACAATCTCCAGTCGAAAAATTTTCTACTTTCATGAATTGATAAAAAATTCGTACTTAGGAGATGATTCCATTGAGGAATTAATTGAATGTTTTCTCGAATGAAGCCGACGTTTAAATTAAGCTTGCCGTACATCACATTGAATGAAATTTGTGATATCCAACTTTGTCTTGAATTGCCGTAAGCTGTGATTCCGTTATTGTAAACTAATGCGATTTTTTTTAGCCAAGAAATATAAATATAAATTTTTCAATTTCCACCACAAAATATTGTTGAGATGAATCAAAAAACGTAAAATAAAGAGTTATTTGATTGAGACAATACGTCATTTCTCCGGGTGCAACTTTACCACCTATAAATGCAAGAAAAAAATTACCTGTTCAATTTCCTCAGGTCTGAACAACAGGGCCAAGGGGCTCTCATCAGTGACCATCTGGAATCCCCTTCTGAAGGCCTTGAACTGCCTCTCGACCGAGCGATTGAGCAGAAAATCCGCATAAAGATCCACAAACTCCCTCTTATTCTCCTGCGTCACATAAACCTCATCCCCATTCTCCCTGAGCTCATGATACAGCACAGAGCCAAAAACATCCTTGTACCCGACCTTGAAAGTCTGCATAAATGTATCAGGCATGTCATCCCCCACATACCCCAGCATCTCCGTCAACGTCCTGTAGAGCGTCGGGCTCCAGTCCTCGAGATCCGCAAAACTCCCCTTTCTCCCCAACAATTTACGATAAACAACCATGGGAAAACGCACATCAAGAATAACATTATTATAAATAGCAAGACCAAGTACAACACCAATTAACGTAAACTGGGCATCACTCTCGAACGAAGTGGGATTGAACCAAGTAGTCTGTGTCTCCTCCTGCGTCGTGAACATTCCATAATCGGGATTGAAGATCTCCTCGACGACTAGTTGAAAAAATTCTTTGGAAACCCCTCCCTCATCGACCCCCTGCTCCCCCTCAAACTCCACAACGAGTTGTTTTTTCAAATCCGTCGGATTCTCCATGGCCACCATCTCCAGCTCAACGAGTGCATCGTCAATGAGAAAATCCCTCCTGACTTTGAGCCTCAAGTAAGGATTCGTCGGTTGTCCAACGTACGACTGAAAAAAGCTCATCCTCCTTTCACTGTACATCCTTATCCTGTTGTCGTAGTACAACCCAAGAGTCTTGGTGGCAGGTGTAAGGATAAACGCGTAATTCATGAAGCTAAATTTCTTTGGTTGCTCGCTCTTGTAGTAAGCAAAGTCTTTGTCCATCTCCACCATTTCACTGAGCAGTTCGTTATAAAAATCAGTGAAGTCGATGTAGGGACGTCGTGCATCCAGTGCAGAGATCCCAAGTTCAACGGCGAGAGGGTCCTGAGGGGGTGGAGCAGCCGGGGGGTTTGTCAATTGGGATTTGTCAATTCCCGTGGGTTCGACGTCTTCGTCTTGACAAAACTCTGGGGCGTCCAGTTCTCCGGATAACATGCTTGCGTAGTACAAGATCTTCATGACTTTCGTGGGGGCTGTGATGGTGTCGGCGTCTTGAACGCAATAGTCCCTCGTGAAGGATCCAGCGATCATCTTCACGGTTATCAGTTGCTGGAGGGTTTGGAGGAGTCTGGGGAGCCTCGTCTTGCAGTGCCTAGCCCAGACCCTCGATAATTTAGCTTGTGCGGAGATGGGGAGACAGCTGGCAGCCTTGCAGAGCATGTGGAGGGCGTATTCCAGGTAATCACTGCTCCCCAGCACTGGAATCTCGAAGACAATGAGAAATACATTGAGGAGGGTGTCTGTGCTGTCTGAGGGCATGATCCCGAAGACCCTCAGGTCCAGTTCGATGTTGTCGGCGAGGGTCACCAGGGCATTGACTAGGGCTGACTCGAACTCTTCGCCTGATATGGACCACAGAGCTGCGAAGGATCTCCTCACAGCCTCGAGATCGACACTCGTGTCGTCGGGGTGGGGAACCGAGGGCGAGGGATCACTACTGTCAACCTCTTTGTCCTCCCCCTGCAGTGCTCTAACTGCCTCTTTATTTAAATCACTTGGGGGACCCAAGAGAGACACTGGAGCACGATCCAGGAGGGCTGACAGAGGGGAGTCGGTTTTCTCTGTCTTTTGGAAGCTTTTACTCAGTGCCTCTGCTGAGGAGAACACCTCACCCAGAGTGCGAATTAGCAGGGAGTAATTCCCCTCCGATTTACATCGCTCTATTATGTCCAGGAGCTTTGCCTCGGTGAGGTAAGGTACTTGTTTACCTGGAAGAGAAGACTTTTGGTTTATTTGAGGGGAAGTGCCGGTTAATTGATAATGTCGAATTGCATTACCCACGTTTTTTTCAATAAATCTTTTCATTTCAGAACTCTTATATTGATGTGTAGGGAATGGAAGAGATACTATTACTCAAGCCTTCAACTATTCCATACATTTTTTGCTTTCGAATGAAAGCATTGTAATCATTCAAATTTAAGTTTTGGATTTTTTGTGTTATATCGACTCATTATGATCCAAAAAGTGCCAAAAACGATAAATGTAATTTTTAGTTTTTCTTCAATTGTTCGCTAATGAATGGATGGAATTGAATCTTTTTTTCAAATGTAGGTATTGTTGAGCAATACTGATTGCCATTAATTAAAATCTAATTCATAGATTGTTTTTGTACTTTTTGATTTTTTTCGAAAATTGGTTGTTCCACGATAATTAAAAATAAAATGTTCTGAAGCGATTGAATGATGGCTTAAAAAATTTGTTTGGATGTCCCTTGGATCGAGGTTGAAGATGAAGGCGATAGCAATAATCGTTATTTTGATTTATTCGAAAATTTTCAAAAATTTTCTATTTTTTGAAAATCAGAATTCCGAGGATATCTTTGAATTCAATCATAGCTTAAAATGTTTGTTTTAATTCCATTAAGGCCCGGGTGTACTATCTTTCGAACGTTATCTCGATGTTTTTTTTCATCTTTCGTCATCTGAAATTGTCAATTAGGTCCTGCATCATGCAAAAGTTTTGAAAAATTATGAATGAATAATCAAAAAAAAGTAGAAAAAATTCTCAATTTTTTCAAAGAGCATTTTTAATTTATATTTAGAATAAGTTGAATAACAAGGAATTGAAAAATGTATGCGATTTACGGCGACAAATGGCGGTCTGTCACCCAATATCATGCAGGGGGAAGACTGATTTCGTAAATCTTTTCCCACTCTACACAGAGACATTTATTACGGAAAAGGCTCTTTGAAAAAAGTTGTAATATTTTGGAGAATTTTTTAATTACACTTTTATCACATAAAAATGGCAGATGACATACCACTGTTTTGAAAATTGAGATACCTAGCTGTCACTTCCCATGAGGAGTTAGTGTTTTGGAATCCACCATGGAAAATGACAGCTAATAGATAATTTGGCACAGCAAATCGGATATTTGTAATTTCCACTTTTTTCAACTGATTCTGAATCTCAATTAAAAACGCTCTTTGAAAAAGTTCAGAATTTTTTCTATTTTTTTTTTACCATTCTATCATAATTTTTGGGTATTTCTACATGATGTACCACTCAATTGACCATTTTGGCTTACGAAAGATAAAAAAAATCCAGATAACATTCGAAAGATAGTACAGCCGGGCCTTAAGTCGAAGTTAAAAGGTGATTACGATAACTACATTGGTTGATTTGATTTTTATGATTGTTGGAAATTTTTAATTTTTCATAAATTTCACTGAAGATAAGCGTTCAGATGGTTTCTTCAAATGTAATGTTCCAAATTCATTCAAGTACGTGTAAATAAAATTTTTTCATTAATATTTTATCAAAGGGCTGAGGGGAGAGATAGAACTGTAATAAAGGCAATCGGTTGTATAGAAGAAAAGAGATAATAAGAATAATGATGCTGATAACATTCAACTAAGTTGAAAATCTGACAAAATTAGGTAAGAGGAAATCTTATTCAATTTAATAAAATAAAGTAAATAATAAATTATTCATGATAGAAGGAAACGATGTGGAAAATAACCATTCGGAAGCATATTGCTAATTAATTAGCAAAAATAACTATACTAAACCAAAAACCTATGCCCATATGTAAATAGTTGGCTGAAGGCCCTCGGGCAATGGCCGTTTGTGAGAAAGTAATTTTTTTATGTATTTTTCTTGCAATCAATTTCGTTAAAATTGAAATTAACTATACTATACACACTATAAGAGCAATTTCCCACTTGTTTTCTTTTCGTTAATATTGGAGTGACCGAAAAATGGCTCAAAATGGGTTGATTTGTATTGTTATTGTTATGAATATTGCGGTTGTAGGGCACGTAATGCTATTGTTCAAATAATTGTGGGGGACAGGAGAGTATAAATTTCTTTCACGTTGAAAGTATTTTTCCAAACTTTGAAATATTTGAATAGTAGCATTTAGCCAGGATATGTTGAGGATTTAATACGGGCCATTTTCCCTCACCTTTCCTTCATCGTCAATTATTGGTTTTATGGATATTCCACAATCATTTTTTAGTAATGTTTGCTATTTGAACAAATGGATCTCAGAAAAGGTGTCTAACAAGATCAATTGAATAATATTTGATAGTGATAGAGTCGACGGATTTAAGGCGTGAATTCACACCGGGTTTTATGGAATTTAGATAAGTGAAATTTATCGTTTTTGGGATTATATCCAAGTACTTCGACTATATTTTAATCGTTAGAATCTTTTACTATAATTGTAGTTAAGAATTTGAGGTCTGAATTTTATTTTTCATTTTGAGCTATTGGGAAACACTTTAAAAATAAAAATAAAAGAAATTAAGCATCTACTTTTGAAGGAAAATTTATGAAAGAATAGAAGATTCCAATTTTGGAAGATCATGAAGCTCTTCAATGAATTATTGATAAATTTTTAATTTTCCGCAGTAGATTTTTTTTTGTGAATGGTAACAAATTTGTCCATATTCAAAATGTTCGCCAAAATTGATTTCATATCGTCGCATTAAAATCAAAGGGGCGTAAGTGCCAAAAAACCCATTTTAAAAGTGAAAGGGGCGTATGTTCCGAATTCCTGTTTTTTCGGTTTTTCATGGAATTTCTGACCAAAAATCGGAAAAAAAATCTAGGAAAAAGGCGTAATTGCTATATTTCAACGGGAAAGGGGCGTATCTCCACACTTACGCCTGTTTCATTTCATTCAAAAAATGACACTTACGCCCTTTTTACATTATGTGTTGTGCACTTCGGATGACACATTTCATGTTGAAATAAAACGAAAAGGGCGTAAGTCCCACATACGCCTCTCTCTCATTATATCTTAG